TTTTGCCCTTCTTCGTTGAGGTCAATGTCTTTAGATGCAGCAACTTTAAAAGAGGACATAATTTCAGTATCATTATCGTCAACCTCCTCTGTAATCCCATCTGACAATACAAACGTCCAAATTCTCCCTTCCCTTTGTAAATCATTAACAGTTTCAGGTTTAAAATCTGCCAAAATGAAAATATCTCCAACCAATGTCTTGTACAGATCTTTTCCATGTCCAGAGAACCTGTTTTTCCAGATATCAGTTTTAACATTGTAGAGTGTCTTATCATATGATTTAGCCTCTTCAAGAGAAACTACTTCAGCAAAAGGTGCACTTGATAAGATTTCCATACTTGAGCATAATTGTGCACGAGTTTCTTCCAACAACGGGTACATATACGACCCAAAATAATGCTCAACTGAATTGAACGATAGGTCAATATGTTTCACCTACAAAAGGTAAAATGTAAACGATATTATTTGAGTGGTATGCAAAATCTTATGTAAAAATACCTATTCTTCAAAGTAAATTTTAAACACGTTACAAGCTTTGGTATATTATCTTGCATATATCCTCCTAATAAACCCTCTATTAATAAAGTAAGTATTTAAATAAATAAAATAAATGTGTTTATTACCTTGAAAAATAAAAATTAGTTAATATTTTCTTCATTTAGTAATTAGGAAGATTGGTAGGTATAAAAAGTTGGAAGATTTAGAATGATCATGCTAACTAGTAGCTAGGGAATTAATGAATAATAATTTTTTATTGAAAATTATGCTAAGATGCATTGGAAATCACTGGAGTGGGCGCATTTTTATTTTTTCCAATAATTTTTTTTTCTACTTTCGATTTCTCAACTAGTGCTGCGTTAGCACTTTCCACTTTAGAATTATTCTACCAGAACCAGACCTGCATGTCAAGCGGTCGAAAACCATTAACAGTGACGTCAAGGTCCACGGTCAATCCAATGAGACTTGGACAACAGCACTAAACCCACTCTTAACACTCCATTCAACTCAAGGCATTGCACACCAAATATATTTACATTAGCAAAGCCTTTAAGGGTGACTTTTATTACTTGTTAATCATTAACAAGTTGCTTAGCTCAAGAAAACAAAAAAGAAAAGAAAAAGAAGTTAAGGGTGATAAACAAACCATGTCCTTGTAAAGATCTTCATTGAAAACATCTTCAAGAGACCAAGAAAATATAGTGTCTATGAAGCCATGATCACCATAAGTGGCCATCTTCTTCCTTGATATTCGACTCATGGTGTTTCCTTCCTGGCAAAGAATCTCAAGTCACTGCAAAGGGTTTGATCAAAAACCGATTTTGATTTAGACCCCTAAAAATGCACAATACATTGTACACAAGAAATGGATTCCTTAACAAGAAAGAAAGGTGAAAGAATCCTCGTACTATGCCTGTCGTACGTGCACTGAAGAGGCTTTATAGATAACAAAAGAGGCTTTATAACCATTGAACTCGTGAAATATGAATTTGACTAACTATAGATTTTGTTTTATGAGAAATATGTTACAGAGGCTGGAAATTTCGAGAGGATCCGAAGACTGACACCCATTATCATTTTTCTCTCTCCACGCCTTTTGCTCAACATTGATCGAGTAAAACAGAGTGTTGGTAACCCAAAAGATTTTCACCACAGCTAAAAAGATAAACACTATTTTAAATAGAACACTGGTTTATATTTAAAAATTTAAAAGTAAATAAAATCAAAATTTGAAGATATTAAATGTTTAAATGTCATAATTTATTAAGTATATTTTTATTTTAAATTTTTATAATAATATAAATTTCTATTAAATTTCTTATCATAAGCTTGCTTACTAAAATTATAAAAAATTATTTATTGATTTTAAAAAATATTTAGTTCTCACCAAAGTTGTAAAACTAATTTTTAGTTAAAAACAGGCTAAAATTAATTCTTGAGTAGCAACTTTTGATTAAACTATTTTGATATTGAAAAATTGCCATTAAGTATTTATTTAAGTGTCTGGTTAATTTAAAATTAAGTATAAATAATTTTAATAAAATTCATTTTAAGTTGTTAAATATAATTAAAGTATGTGCATAAATTAGTTTGAATCATATATTTTATTAAAAAATATAAAAATTATTTTAAATTTTAAACCAAGTTATTCTTTATTTGGTGTTAAGGGATTTCAGAAATTTGCATGAGTTATATTTGTTATTTTTATTTTACAAAAAATGTAAAGATAAATAAAAAGGTGGATAGTAGTAGCACTGTGTTGTAGAAAATGGTGGTCGTTTCGTTTCCTTCCTTGACACTCCTCGTCTTGCGTCATAAGTCAAGTCGTCGTCTTCGTTTATTGCTATGTGCTTTTTCTGCTTTCCTCCAAAAGATGTCGCCATCTTTTCCATTTCCTACAAAAATAAAGTTTATTTATAAAGTACAAAAATAAGGGGTTATCCATCTTTAAAATTTTATGGAAGAATTATTATGTACTTTGAATTAAATTCATGGTAAATAATTTCTTATTTTTTTATAAACAAATTCAATTAAAAAAATAGGAATTTTTCAAGGATAGTGATTAAAAAAATTTATTGAATAAAACAATTTATTTAAGATTATAAAAAAGTAACTAAAAAATTACACTAATAGCATATTACAATTTAGAATACAAATATTTTAATATATTTTAAAAAATTTGGGAAGATTGTTTAATATTTGTCAAAATATTAATTCATCTAGAGCTCTTCAAATAGGAAGGAAATGAAACGGATTATGTATCATGCGTATATAATTATTTTTAATGATTCAATATAAGCTAAATTCTAAAATATAAATACAAAAGTTATTTAATTTAATTAATTTTTAATTTTTAAAATTTTATTCTATTTAGTTTTAAAATTTTCAATTTGAATTGTTAAATTTGCTTGAATTTATTCATAGCAAAACATCCTAAAATACTAAAAAAAGTATTTTTTTTAAAAAAAATTATTTTTAAATTTTAATATTTATCTTTAAATATTACTAATAATTGTGTCCGATAAGAGTAAAGGATCCTTTTCATAAAAGGAAAATTAAAATTCCTGAATTAGCTCTAAAAATATGGAAATCACCTATGAACCATTTGATGCCTTTCTCAATTCTCATCTTATAGCCTGTTCGAAAAACGAAAATAATATTACTACCATTTAATTTGCATAAAAAATTGTGTATGATTCTCTTCAACCATTAGTTTTTAATTTAAAACCTATTTAATTGAAAAAACCGGGAAAACAAATAAATTATTAGACGCTGCCAATAATTACCCTTAAATTTTTTTTTAAATTTTTGGGACGTGCCAATTCTGTTGTTCATGAATCATGATGACTATTATTAATGAGATCGTGGGACATTCGAGGATATACATCACAGAAAATTGTCCAGTCGTGGAGAGCAACTTCCTAATTCTTAGAATACTAAGTTTTAAAAATTAATTTATAATTTTCAACTTAAATATACGTTTCAATTTTTACAAAATATTGTAGCATAAAATTAGTATTAACAAATATGACAGATATTTTTTAACTTGATTTGATCATTTATTTAATAAAATTAACTGAAAATTTATAATTTATAGTTGATAACTTATTTAAAAATTTATAACTTATAACTATTTATCCAAATTATCTTAAATGTATTAACTTAATAAAAATGATATATAATATTATATTAATATAATATAAAACAGCATGGGACTAAAAAAAAAAAAAAGACAAACTAAAGAAAATTGAACAACAACTAAAAAGTTATTAAAGTCATTTTTTAGATACTAATTAAATTTTATTGTATTATTTTTTAAAATTACAATTTCTATTAAATATATATACATAATATAATAAAAATTTATTTAATATTATTAATAATATCAATATATACGACTAAAAGAGAAAATATTAATTTGAATAACACACAACAAACAAAATTCAATTTAACAACCAACAAAATTGGTAGCTAAAATATAAAAATTGATTGTTAATTTTTTTAACTACCGAAATAGTTACCGATTTTAATTAGTGACTAATATGTTGGTTGCAAATATATTTAGCGATGTATAAGACTGAACTTATTTCTCTAATTTTTTTTGGCTCAACATTAATTTTGACGAGTTTAAATTTTAGTTTTTAAAATTAAATATAGTATATTTTAATAACAAATTTGAATTATATCTTATATTATCTCAGTTTAGTATGCTATTTTTTCAATTATATTTTTAAGAAATTTTGTATTAATAATAAGATTTTAAAATTTAATATTGATATTTTTAAATTATGGTATCATATTTTTATTGATATTATGTATTTTAAAATAGATAATAAAATATATTTTTAATAATTTTATAGTTCATTATTTTTATAACTTATATAGTAGTGTGTAATGCTATTGATATATTTTGATATAAACTGAACCCAGCCTTGTTTTAATACTATCAAAGTTTGATTGAGGTGGATTCAGGTAAGAAAAATTACCTACTAAAATTTGGGTGGAGACAAGGATGGAAATAAATCCATCTTAACAAGTTCCACGCAGATTCCTAATTCACACAAACTAGTCTTCTTCCTTCTTTTTCTCCCTCTTACTTCATATTCGTCATTGTAAATGCTCTAACTATAGGCAATAAAAACAAAATAAGTTAGCGATGATCATTGTTGGCAATTTCTTAGCCTTAAATTGTTCCTTATGTTTTAGTGTAAGAACGACCCTTTCTCTGCCACTTTGTGCAATTTTGATTTCCTTGCATTTTGTTTTTGTCTTTTCATTTCGACAAAGAAAGTTTTGAGAAATAGAGGTTCTTGGCAAAGAAAATTTTGATTTTTGATGTTGGAATGTTTTCATCAATTCCGCCACCCTTCATCTTGAAATGGGTTATTCTTCCTCTTTTGATTGATTTGTGTTCTTAAAACTAATTTCACATAGCCATTGATCATCCCTAGCAATGGTTTTGGGTATGGAACATAAAAATACCAACCAATAGAATAAGAGAAAATGATATCACCCCAGGTTGAAGTCACCCCATCTTCACCATTTGGTTGTGTTAATCGTCGTGATGCATGCTCCACAACACATGCTGCATTTCAGAAAAACATGGTCGAAGACAACATTAACATATCTGATTCTGCACCAAAGAATGACTCTAAAAACCCAACCAACAAAATTGATACTTGGCCTTGGGTCTCAAGAGTTGCTAAGAACGATAACCTTCGAAACCTGAGTTTCACAGATAGGCTTCACAATATCAAAAAAGATGAATCATCATTGTCTGCATTGGTGAGCCCAAGGCACTCAAAAGTCATTGATCGATGGGCTGCGACTGCCAGACAACATGCACAAAAAATGGCAACAACACTTGAGAATAACAAGGTGGAGGTAAAGGACAAATTTCCTTCAAGGTCATCAAGTTTTAATTCTAGAAAAGAAGTGTCCCCTACACGTTCTAATGGCTCCTTTGAAAGTGAAATCTCAAACCTTGGTGCTTCTTTCCTTGTTCGGATATGGGAGAAGAGGCTTAAAACCCAATCCAACAATTGCACCAAACCAAATGCTTCAGATTCCCCTAGAAGGACTAGTTCTGATGCAAGCAGTAATGAGAATGCAGTTTCTGTGGAGGAACAGTGCATGGTCTTAGAAGAAGGTGATAGAACCCTTAATGAGGAATCGTTCCCAGATTGGGAGGAATATAATAAAACAAGACTAAGTGATCAATCATGTTCTTCACCAAAAATTAGTACTTTAGATGTTGCTGAAAACGAGAGGGGTAGAGTTGCGTATATTATCAAGAGACTTACGGATACAAATCAAATGCGAAGTTCAGAAGTGTTGTTGAATGATGACAATGATCATGAGCTTTGTAGTAGTGTGACAGGATCTCCATATAGAGAGCGTGGATCTCCATACAGAGAGCGCGATCCTTTTTCTAAACCAAAGCAACAAGAGCATAGAGCTTTTGCTCATGTCATAAGTTCCCCGCGTATTAGGGGACGCCAAGCATTCAATGATTTGCTTATGCAGTTTGAGAGTAACCGGCATGGAGAGCTCAACAATCTTGCAAGGCGGGGTGCAGTTTCCAAGTTCACACAAAGAGGTCGAATTCAGGTAAAGTGTGTTTGGATACATAACTTATTGAAGGGCTTAATCAACAAGTTATTTTAAAATGATGACTTATGTCATTAATTTATTTATGAAACTTATTGAGATAAGCAGAAAATAAATTATTTTGATGAGTTATACCAAAAAGCTTGTTCAAATAAGTTGAAAAGAACTTATATGAGTCATATCCAAACAAGTCCTAAAAGGGGTACTTGCTTGTTGCTTCTTCATTTTTATACTTGGATAAAAAGGTAGGGTGGTGTTTAAGTACTTTTCTGTTGCAATTAATTTTCTTTGTATCACACTTTGCATGTAGTCATTGCTTCGACTTAGATTATTACAACGTGGAATAGCTGTTTTTGATCTATCTGGCCAGAAACCGGCAGCATCTGAAGTGAACAGACAACAAGGATCTTCAGCAATTATGCAACTTAGGTATAGTAATTTTTAATCAAAGATGACATCTTCCTGCTTTTGTGATTGATGAATAACACTTGAATAGAAAAAAATCCATTTTTTTATTATTTATTTTTTTGGTCTCATCTTGTACTTCTTATGTAATTGAGACTTTGACACTACCACATCATTGATTTGATTGGCCTAGTAGTTAAAAATGGAAAAAAAAAAAGTTATGACTGTCAAGGTATGGCAAATGCATTGAAGATTTTGTGTGAGTTCCTCTATAAATACCAATTAGCATGGAAATATGATGAATGATTTAAATTAGATTAGAGGTTATGAAGTAAAAATAGCAACACTTCCTATTCTTAATGTGGACCCTTAAACCATCTGCGGCTATCATATATACAGTATGTATATATATATACCAATGGCCAAGACGTAATGGAAGGTTAACATTAGCATGATTTGTAAATATTTTTTTATTAGAGAAACAATTGCTTGTTTTTTAAGAACTTTCTTAGTAAGCTAACAAAAATAGGTTGAACCAAATAAAAAAAGAACTCTACAAGATGCATAATTCAACTCCTGTTTGTGATGTTACATGGCATAAATCTTTTAATTAAATGCAGGGAAAGATTTAACACAGGAAATGAGCCAAGAACTCCATCTCTGGTTGAAAAATCCAATCCAAGAAGTCCTAATAGAGAGATAGTAAGCACTGGCATGCGCTATGAAAAACCTACACGAAACTTCGTGTCTAAAACTAGTGTAAATAGTAAAGCTCATCCAAGTTCAGATGTCACATTTCGAGGAACATTCTTTGGAGTTAAAAATTATGATCCTAAAGAAACTATTAGGACATCTTCATCCATGGTTGATTCAAATGCAAATTATGAGATGGTCCATAAGGCAGTGACAAATGACCGACAGGGTGATACCACTGAAATCAATTACGATGAGATGGCAATAGAGGAAGAGGTGAGTGACCAGCAATATGCTGCAAGTAGTTATGATTACACAGTAGAAGAGGAAGAGGTAAGTAACCAGCATTATGACGAAACTAGTTATGACTGGACCAGTCATATTTCTCGGCCTAGAAGCTATTGGGAAGAACGAAGGCAAGAATGGTATAGGGAAAAGCTTGACTTTAGTTCAGCAAATGATGAGATACGTAAGCTCCTTGAAAGGTACACAAATTTTTATCTTAATATATATCAGAAAACAATTATTGTACATATAAAATGAGACATTTTTTGGTGTCTTCTTTGATATTGGCAGTATTTGTTGAGATGCTTGTATAGAAAAAAGTTTAAGAAAAAGAAAGAAAGATAAAGAAAATTGATAGTGTCATATACCAGGCCTAGTTTGGATAAACGTTTCGAGAAGTAATTATAAGAATAAAAAATTAAGTAGTAAAATGAATAAAACTCTTCTCATAAATTATAATCAACTTATGTTTCTCTACGTTTTAGATGTTCATATAACAGAACTCATGTGGAGATATTATTACATACCTGATTGAGCACTAATTCATGGTAAGATTATGTTTGCAGAAAAACAGTGTCAACTTTGCTTTCTAGTGGCTTCCACGAAAGGTTGGAAAGATTGATGAAGTCTCATATGGGAACAAAGTCACACCTAATTAGTAGTCAATGTGATGAGGAAGATCAAGAAGGGAGTATGGACCAGTTGATGGCATTTTTTCAAGAACACTTGCATTTTAGAAGCAAAAGTCAAGAAGATGGAATGGATAGAGTCCAAGAGGAAGAGGAGAGGAGAAATGAGGAAGAAGAAGCAGAAGAGAAGAGCATCATTAGTGGTTCAGATCATGAAGGTGATTATTTTAATCATTCCTCTTCATCACTGCATGCACCTTCCCCATCATCATGGAGTTACAGAGACAATGATGCTGGAGATGATTCTGATAGACTTGTGTCTATGTCCTCACCACCAACTTCTCATCAATCTCAATCATTCTATCAAGATAATCGACAATACTCTTCATCCATAAATCACCATTCAATTGTGAGTCTTATTTTACTGTTAACCAGAAAATAAATCTGATTACATGTTTAAATATATTTTTAACAATACAATTCTATTGTGGATTATAGGAAATGGAATTCATATATGAATTGCGAGGACAGATGGATCAACTTTTTCATGAGATGTCTGAGCTAAGGAAATCAATAAAATGTTGCATGGACATGCAGATGCAAATGCAATTACAACAATCTAAGAACCAAGAGGTTCACACAGGTCTGTGATTATTTTTGTTTAACAATGTTAATTAATATGAATCTTCTTTGTTTTTGGTCTATATGTTGATGTATGTCTTGTACCGAAATATTGACTCATTTTAAATGCAAGAGGTGCCATTATTCTAAACAATTAACTTACTTTCCTTGATTCAATAAATAAATTTATATATGAATAAAAAAGTTTAATAATTGATTTTGGAACACGACATGATTATCGTAAAGTTATGAATAACATTTCGTTTCCTCCTTTGGTCAGTTTTCTTAACAAAAAACCCTGGAAATGGAATGAAAATAATAATTTTGCCTTAGCTCATTTTATGCCTTTTTCTTTTTCACAATAAAGTTACCTGTAGAAAAGTTTGTTTTCTAATAGAGGTCTTTGCTCCCTTATGTATATGAAACATGATTGTAATTACAGAAGAAGAAAAGAAGTTCCATAACAGAACACCAAAGAAAGGCAACTGTTGCATTTGCAATGAGAAGAAAGTAAACTCACTTTTATATAGGTATTTCCTTTTGAGAAGAATGATCATGTTAAATTGATTTATTTCTAATCTTAAAACGTAGTACTCATCTTGTCACTTTATTTCTTACAGATGTGGTCACATGTGTGCATGTTTCAAGTGTGCCAATGAGTTGCAATGGAACAGTGGAAAATGTCCAAAATGTCAATCTCCAATCATAGATGTTGTTCGAGTATATGCTGACACAGAATCTTCCATGGTGGGCATGGTTTAGTTGTAGGGGAATAAGTCCTCAAAGTTAATAAACTACAAAGAAGGAAATCCACCCTTTTCTATTAAAAATGAGTCGAGAGTAGTTCCATTTCTTAGTACTTATCTGGATTCACGTTGTATGGTCATGAATTCACGTTAACTTCAACGTTACTTCTTGTGTACAGCTTGTGCGTTGGATTCATGTTTACATGATTTTCAACGTGTTTTAGAGCATGCACTCATTCTACTCTCCTCAACCATCTTCACTCCATATTATTTTCCAAGTCTAACTAAAATTCAAGATATCCGTGCTGGGTAATGATACTAGTTTGTTACTTCTCCATTACCAGGTACTTTATGTACTTATGTTTTTCAAAAGGAGAAATGCACGAGATTTTTTTCAAAATGTATTATGTACATTCAATAGTTTTTAATAAATACATACTATTATCCATACTTTATCCTGAGTCTTTCTACAATGGACAAGGCAATGCTTTGAACAAATCAAGACATGCCCTCCTTCACTATGTTTTATGACAGATTTAAAGCTGTTACAAATATCTAAACTTCGATTCTTCTCTTGCCCTTAGTTTTTTTGGGTTTGTCTATATAACAAGAAGTGGACATGAAAACAAACAGCGACACCATTCATCATAAGGAGAATACAAAACAGAAACTTTCAGATAGAATCCTTTACACCATACATGGATGCCTAGTTCCCCTATGCACTCAATGCCAATGCTTTTGTATAGTTATAGTTGAGTATGTTCATATTGGTTGTATATTTGTGTATATATACAGAGTATTATTCATAAATGTTCTCATGATATGTAGCTATCAGAGCAGATAGGAATTTGAAGACTAAAATAAAGGAAAATATAATCAGTTTCATTATTGAATACGTGGAAATTTATAATTTACATGGCAATGTAATTTGTAATTTTATGAGAGATTTTTTTTTTCATATCCTGCGACTTAGTTTTCCAATTGTTTTTGTTGGGTTCTAAATTTTCTATGTTTTTAAAAAGTTATCTTAATTCCTAAAATTTTTGTTATGTACAATTTAAGTATTAAGAAAATATTAAAGAGTTTATAAAGAATTTATGAAAATAGCTCATAATTTTTATAAATTATTTTAAACTTATTTTAATAAGCTTTTCAATATATCTTATTATAATTAGTTTTTTATAATTTATTTTAAGAAAATTTATTGTTAAATTTATGATATAGAATTTTAAATAAAAAAGTTTATTAAATATGTATTTAATTAAGTTACATTTTCAAGTGCACCTAAATGTATTAACTTGCTCATAATTTGTTGATTCCCATATGTTAATCTTATTTATATTTTACTCATATCTTGTTTATATTTTTGTAAAAAAAGACAAAAAAAAGTATAAGTAATTTAATATATTTAGAAATTAAATAATACAAAATAGACTTTTAGATAAAGTTAAACATGATGTCACTTCTAAATATCAAGTTGTATTTTTTATAAATTTTAAAAATAATTTCTACTATTATTTAATAGTAATATGACATATATCTATTCATAATATGGCAATTCTTGTAATGAGGGGTAGGGATATAAGACACATTATTAATAAACAATAATATAAACAATTTTTAAAATATAAATTTATAAAAATAAATTAAATCATGTTTATAATATTTAATTAGATCTTAATTTAATTTAATAAAAATATTTTATTTTAAATCAAAATAAAAATGAATTTATTATAATACTTATAAACTTGAAAGAATATTTTATACTCTTTTAAAATTAATTCTTGAGATTAAAATATAAAATTAAGAATACAATTTAATTTTCGATCTACAAAGCATAATAAAACTTGTATACATTGTAATTTGTAAGCCACGTCAAGAAGGCGTGCCTATTTTCTTTCCGAAAAAGAAAAAAAGAAATTCCAATTTGAGAAAAAATTAGGTTTGGTTTGGTTGAGGAAGTTGTAGAATCAAAGTGCCGAGTGTTTGGTGTGTGGCAGAGAGAAGGAAGAAAAATGGTACTGAGTGCGACAGCGATCGGAGCCTTACTGGGTTTGGGGACTCAGATGTATTCCAACGCTCTCCGCAAACTCCCCTACATGCGCCGTATCTCTCTCTCTCTCTCTCCTGCAATTCCAATTCCATTTTTCATTCTATTAATTGTTTTTTAATTCAGATCCATGGGAGCACGTCATCGGAATGGGCTTGGGCGTCGTCTTCGTCAATCAGCTTCTCAAATGGGAGGCTCAGGTCGAACAAGACCTCGATAAGATGCTCGAAAAAGCCAAGGCCGCTAATGAAAGACGTTACATAGGTTCTCTTTCTTTTCACTTCAATTGCCTCAACAAGATAATATATGAAATGCATTTTGATTTAGGTTTTCGTGACCTTGGATTTGGATAAATATCTCTCTTCTTGAGATCGCTTGTGAGGTGAATATTACTGTTTCGTTTGCTCTTAAATTACTATGGTGTTTGAAAATTGTTAAATAGAAGAGGATGATGTAGCCTATGTAAGTGTGTAATTCACTTAAATAATGTGATCTCGAAATGTAGTTCCATGTAAAACAGTGGCGCTCTGTGCTGAAGAATATGATTCTTTTTAAGTTAAGTGAGTTGTATGTTGTGGTGAATGGTAATGAAGATTTTGCTTGTTTTCTCGATAGATGGTTTATTAGAAGACTACAGACAATTTTTTTAACTTGTGGTGGCCACTACAATTTTAAATTTTTAATCTGTGGAGATGGTGAATAGCCTAGCAAGAAATGTGATTCTTCTGATGGTTAGGGGAACTGATTACTCGAATTTTGTTCTTGTTACCCTTTTTCTTAATGTGTTATTGGATATTTTTATGTGCTGCTATGATGGGATTTTTGGTGATCTTTGTGGATATGGCTTTTGTTGTTGTTGTTGTGCTCTTATTTGATTGGTCACTAATTCTCTTTTAGCATTTCAAGTCTGGAATTTTAGTTTTACTGTCATTCAATTGCTTGACATTGTAGAATTTTATGGTAATCTCTAAAGCATGTTCCTTGCTCGTCAATGATGAGTTTATGCTTCAAATGTTTTTGGATCTAGCTGCTCCTCAGCTGAATGCTCTGGATATGGTGTTTTTGGATTACATTGGTATTTTTACATCATCATTTTATTATCTCATTGCATTCTATTTATTTGTTATATTGCATTGCAGATGGAGATGACGATTAATGCATGTCTTAAAGGATTGCAGCAGTTTGTGAAAATAATCATGAAATATGTTGAACTTGTTACCTTTGTATTTTTTATTTCAAATTGCCATGTTTGTAAGGTTGTTAAATCTTTTTCATGCCAATCAACCTATTTTGTGCCCAAGCTTTTGCAAGCAGGGAAAATGTTAGATGACAATGTTATGGCCTTGTGGCTTCATTAGTAATAAGATTAAACGCGATAACTTGCTTGACTGTAATATCATGGTAACTGTGACTCCAATATGTGTGCATGCCTTTAGTTTGGTGATTGTGGGGTTTTAGTGATCTCATGAAAGTTTGTTTCTGAAAAATGCTAGATAGATTTTTTTATTTTCTTTTGCCAAAGTTTGTGTGGTCATATTTTTTGAGTGTTGGATTGATGAGTAATTCTCTTCACTACTGATCTAATATTCACTGGTGAATCCTTACAAATTGTAGTTGAGTTCTGTTAAATATTTCTGGTCGTATAACTGCTCTCTTTTTTTCACTGTGCTGAAACGAGTGGTTTCCCAGTAAACTGAATTATAACTGCACTTTGAAAGGACAGCTACGTTGTGGTCGTGCCCGCCGTTGATGACTAGTTTAATTTTTATGGTAAAGGTGCTTTTGGATGTCCTGATTCAAATGCATTCCATTAGCCTCGGTGGTGGTTAATATTTTAAAAAGCATAATTACCTGAAAGATTAAAAGAAGATATTTTTAGGTTCAATGCTGGAAAAACCTTGGAAGCTGAGTGTAGTTGTTCAAGGACTTGGATTTATGGTGCCTTAATACTTATTTACATTTCATCTCTTTGTAACGTTTATTCTCCTTACAATATTTTTAACATTTATTTAAAGGCTGGGACTGGGGATGGGTAAGGTAATTGAGAAGGATAGATTTAACTTAAAAGACTCGGCAATTCCCGAGTTTGAACCAAGAAAGTGCCGGTTCAACACAGCAAGTATATTTTTATCCACCCAGGCTTGTCTTTCCGTTTCAAGATGGTTAGGTGGTCGCGAGGAGACCTTTAAAAGTAAGAATGTGAATTGTATGATTTTTAGTTCGGTAGAAACAAAATAAAATAAGATAAAATTTATTAAAATATATCTTTTGATTAATTAAATATTAGAAAATTTGATTCTTAACCGAGTTGAATGCCTTTTAATAAACTTAAATAACAGCAACAATGCCAGTGTCTCCCTGGATAACGTCTAATTAATGTGAAAAAAAAAATGTAATAAGTATCATGAGCGCAACTCTTTCACAATGTTAAGATTTGTATCAATCCTTTGGAAACAAAATCACTTGTAATGATCCAAATTCATCTTCTCAAAGTCCACCACCCTGTTGTTGAATACATGGAGGAGAAGATCGCATGCTTTCCTTGAAGACGGCCTCTCCTGTGGTGTAGTTTTGGTGCACTGTAAGGCTATCTCAAGCACTTGAAATGCAGCAAACTCTTGGGCAGGCAAAAGAGGTTTCAGCTCAGGATCTATTAATTCCTCACTGGCAGAGCCATGCATATCAATATGCATCTCCACCCATCTCACCATGTCCATATCAGCACCAAAAAATTCATTTGTTGGCATTTTACCACTAACAAGCTCCATTAGCACGATTCCCATGCTGTAAACATCACTTTTTTCTGTTGCCTGTAGGGAGTATGCATACTCTGAAAATAAAGCCAATATCAAACAAGTGAAGTTAGACGAAAACGACAATATATCAAGGTAAATTCAAATCAGCAGTTTGATCACTACCTGGAGCTATGTAGCCATAAGACCCAGCAAACCAAGAATTAGACTCAGTATTGGAGTCATAATTCTCAATGATTGCTTTTGCCAGTCCAAAATCTCCCAAGTGTGCCTCCATTTTGGAATCTAGCAATACGTTACTGGATTTGATGTCCCTATGAATGATCTTTGGCACACAATCATGATGGAGGTACTCCACTCCTTGAGCTAATCCCACAGCAATTTTGAATCTTGTATCCCAGTCAAGGCTCCTCTTTACTTTGCTTGCCTTGGCTGGTTTCCCATGAAGCCAATCCCATACACTTCCATTCTCCATGTACTCGTATATCAACAGATTCCAACTTGCTTCTTTGTCTTTATTGCTACAATATCCTATCAGCTTCACCAGATGTCTATGCCTAATCCTCCCTAGTGTCTTAACTTCTCTTATGAAGCTTTTGTTTAACATAAACTCATCTTTGGATGAAATCTTCTTGACAGCCACTGTTTCTCCGGTGGCCAAGTCTGCTTTGTAGATCTTCCCTGAACCTCCTGATCCAATCATGAAATCATCACTGAGATTGTTCGTGGCATCCATGATATCTTCCCACCTGAAATCTCTCTTTCCAGGATCATTTAGTTGGAACAGTGGTCTTCTCTGTGCTTGCGATGAAGAGGAAGAGTAGACATAGTTCACTTCACTGCCTTTCCTGCAAAATTCTTGCTTGTTTTTGAAGACGATTCTTGCAGCAAGTATCAAAAGTGAAACTGCAGCTAGAGTTGAAATAGAAGAGATAATCACTATTGATGAATCACTTAGGCTTGACGGTTCACTGCCTGATGCATCATCGCCATGGCAGCGCTCAAGAGGGCTTCCACAAAGATGTAGGTTTCCTACAAAGGCCTCAATTGGCCAGTGGGAGAATTGCTTGTCCAATTTTCCTTGAAGGTTGTTGTAAGAGAGATCAAGCTTTCCCAAGCTGCTCATTTCACCAACTTGTGGAGGGGCTTCTCCAGTGAGTTGATTGTGGGAAAGATCAAGTGCTTCTAACTTTGACAGCGTCCCAAGAGAAGTTGGGATGTGACCTGAGAGATTATTGTAACTGAGGTCTAAAATGATTTGAAGATTTTGAAGTTTTCCAATCTCAGTTGGCATCTCACCATTGAACTTATTTCTAGAGAGCTGGAGCTCATAAAGCTTGCTCAACTTACCTATCTCCGGAGGGATTGGTCCAGATAAGTTATTATGGTCAAGCCTGAGGACGTTAAGGTATGCAAGATCACCAATATCAGCTGGAAGACTTCCATTCAGAGAGTTGTCATTTAGAGAGAGAACCAGCAATTTAGAACATTTGAATAGGCCTAATGGAAGAGGTCCAGAAAAGTTATTGGAGGAAAGCTTAAGCTCCCCTAACTGGGGCAAACTTCCAAGCCATGATGGTATTTGTCCAAACAGAAGATTACTGTTTAAATCAATATAAGCCAGTTTGTTGCACAAAGAAAGCTCAGCTGGTATTGGTCCAGTGAGTGAATTTCCTGAGAGGTCTAACAATGAAAGCTCACTGATTTTTCCCAATGTCCTAGGAATTTCACCCGAAAATTTATTGTTACCTAATCTCAGCCTCTCAAGGGATGGTGAGCTTCCTAGTTGGGAAGGAATTTCACCCTCAAACTCATTGTTGGTAACATCAAAAGAAAGAAAGGACCGAGAGCTACACAATGCAGCCATACTACCATTCAATCTATTCTTTGAAAGATTCACTCTGGTCAATTTTGCTACATTTATCAGTTGGTGAGGGAGGTTACCTTCAAGAGAATTGTTGTAGAGCATGACCTGTTGCAATGCCTTGAGGAATCCAAACGTTGCAGGAATTGCACCTGAGAGCTGATTGTCAGCCAAATCCAGAATGTTCAATTTATAACAGTTGCCCAAGGTGGCTGGAATCTCACCCACAAGCTCGTTCTGCCTAAGGTGAAGGAAATTCAACTCTTTCAGCCTTCCAATAGTGATGGGAATTTCCCCACTGAAATTGTTTCCAAAGAAATCAACCATTTGCAAGCTAGAACAATTGCCAATCTCCTTAGGTATAGCCCCAGACAACTTATTATCATAAAGATACAAAATTTCCAATTTCCCAAGCCTTCCAATCTCTCTAGGCAGAGAACCCTGCAAATTGTTGTGAAATAAAGCGAGAGTTTGCAAGCTACTGAGGTTTCCTATGAAGGGAGAGATGGAACCAACCAAGCTGTTGTTGTTCAGCAAGAGATCAGTTAACCCAAGCAACCCATAAAGTTCAAGAGGAATGGACCCATTGAGTGAGTTGTTGGACAAATCAAGTTGCTTCAGTTGCTGGCACTGACTCAGCTCAAATGGAATCTCACCATGAAGTCCACTTTCTGACAGCATCAAGTGTTCCAAACTTGTTGCATTGGAACAAATGGCTCTTGGTATGACACAGTTAAGGTTGTTACCAGACAGAACCATGTAAGCTAACTGACCCATGTTGCCTAACTCCACCGGAATTCCTCCACCGAGCTTGTTCATTGACAAGTCCAGATTTTGAAGATTTCCCAGTTGAGCTAGTGCCGGTGGAATAGCACCCTCGAGCTGGTTTCCCATGAAGTTCAAGTAAACGAGTTCACTCATGTTTCCGAGTTGACTCGGAATCTCCCGTGAAATGCTGTTGTTGCCAAGGTTGAGGATTTGCAGATTCTTGAGTTGACCCAGTTCACTCGGAATTGACCCATTGAGTTTGTTGTTAGCTGCAGTGAAAATGGTGAGGCTTGAGCAGTTCCCCAACTCGGTAGGAATCGGGCCCATTAACTCGTTGTCCTGCAGGATCAGATTCTCCAAGAGACTGAGTTGACCGAGTTGAGGTGGAATCGACCCGGTGAGCCCACTGGAAGCCAAACCAAGGTTGACCAGGTTGAACAGATTCCCAAGAGACGCGGGAATCGTACCCGTTAATGCATTGTCACCGAGTCGCATGACTCGGAGACTCGTGAGCGAGCTAAACTCAATGGGAATTTGACCCGTAAGTTGGTTAGAGAAGAGAAGCATAGATTCCAAGGAAGTGAGGTTGGAGAGATTAGGTGGAATGGGACCCGTGAGGCTGTTGGAAGAGAGATCAAGATGGAGTAGGTTTTGCAAACGACCGAGTGAAGGGGATACTAACCCAGTGAGTGACGAGTCAGAAAGGTTGAGACCCACCACTTGCACCGAGTCATCATCTAAAGAGTTTGAAATTGAGTTAAATCCACATGACACCCCTCTCCAAGTGCAGTAGTTTGTATTGTCCTCTGACCAATCACTTAGAACATTTTGTGGGTCTTCCGCAAAAGACTTCTTCACTTCCAAAAGCACTCTCAATGTTGTCTCACTATCTAAGTTACCCTGCCCAAGGACTAGTAGCGTAGAAGAAAACCACAAAAGGAACACAACTATTGCATGTGTTGAAATCCTCATTGTTGGTGGCATTTGGGTGAAGGTTCAATTTCTCACCTTTCAAACACTCACAAGCTTGACCAAAGTGGTGAGGTATATAATATCCCTTGGTTTCAAGTTGCAATAAAATTGTTATTAATGATGAAGATGAAAGCAGAGTAACATTATGGTGTTTTTGGGGGGTTTGGAAGATGGTTTGTGGTTGTTCTTGGGCTATGCGTGCTTTTATGATTGACTCTTAAAGTGTGTATGTGTTGGCAGAAGAGATATGGATGCATGGGAAGGCATGCGTTGGCATTTGTTGCATGCGTATTGCTAAAAAGCATTGAAATGGGTGACAAATGAGAGATGAGAGACTGCAAATGAGAAGACAACACTGCAGCGAAGCTCCTCAGTTGCCATTAATGTCCCGTTATTCGTTGAGAGAGTTAAATGAAGATGAGATATAAGCTGATATTGAGCAATAAGAAGGTCAACGTGGGTCAGGTAACACAGCATGGGAAATATAAGGAAAAGAAAATGGCCTTATAGTAATAAATAAGGTCTTCACTCTTGACTGATCTGGTTAAAAAATTAAGGGTTTTGCTAATTTGGTCTGAATGGTTAAGTTTAAATATTTAAAAATAATCTTTTATTAAAAGTAACACATGAATTATATTGTTATAAAAATATAACAAATAAATTTTTAATGAATATTAATATTAATATAATTACCTATATTTAACTCTAAAAATTGAGATTAATATTTAAAAAAAATTAAAAACAAACATTTTTATTAAACAATAAAAGTTTTACATAGATACATTAGTAACTAATT